CTCATGTACACACACACGTGCATGTAGTATAATTCTTACTAAGTATGAACAGTAATGAATGGCAATTTTAATAATTTAATAATAATTGCTACATGTGCATGTAATTTTGCTTGCAAGTCATCGAATGCCAAGTTAAAGAGCTTTACTCTAACAATTAAAACTCGCTCTATATCAATGGTATGAGTATGAAGTGGTTCTCCAATTGGTATATGATCAGCTACTCCCGGCTTGGGTCTTACGAGGAAGGTACCGTCCGGCCGCCCACTCAAAAGGTCTCTTGACTCCTCCCTTGATATGTGGTCCCTCGTCCAAGAGGTCGGCTCGTAGTGGGGGAGAGATGGAGGGAGGTTTATCTGATTAATGGTGATCAACTGATTACCCTGGAATATACAAGAATATACTGAGGTGTACAAGAATATGCAAAGATATACAAGAATGTACATAAATATAGCAATTTAAGTGATTTGGCATTTGCAATAAATTTTCTAACATTAGTAGTACATGTGATTTAAAATATACTAAAAATATACAAGGATATACTGACTCACATCAGCTTCGTTGAATTGTAAAGGTGGCATCATTGGTTGGGCATTTTCTATTGATAGTGACGGGTGAGGTGGGAGGGGTCTATGGGGGGACCTGGACAATGTAGCTTCAGTTGGAGGTAGCGACACAAATAGAGGCTGGAGAAAGGAATATACTAATAATATACTGATAATATCCTGACTTACGTTGGACTGCGGTGGAGGTGGCGGAGGTTTTTTCTTCTTTTTCTGAATCTCTTCGGATATTCTTCTGTAATCGTCATCACTAGGGATATACAAGAATAAACAAGAATATACTAGAATATACAAAAATATACTAAAAATATACCAAAAATAATTAAATATGTACTAGAACTTAACATGTACACCAAAATACAAGAAAAAATATACTGGAATACACTGAAGTATACAGGAGTATACTGGATTATACTGAGGTATACTGGAGTATACTACTTACTCTGTTCTGTGTGTATGTAGCATAGCATAAGTGGCATAAAGATCATCATCTGGATTATCCTCTTTCACTGAAGCTTCAGCTAATATATCACTGGAGCG